AAAAAAAAAAAAAAAAAATTTGTACTATTGCATGGATTCATTTTTGTTTTCGACTCGATCAGATGTTGTGAATCATGCCACATATATATACATATGTGCATATTACCACTGAGTTTGTAAACGAAATCACTAAGAAAAATGCAGCGTCTGTTCGCGAATACCACACCAAATATTTCATCATATTACTAGCAAATTATAAGCTTTATAAATTGTTCATCGGTATATTGCAAAAGTGGAAAACAACAAATTTTAGGAGTTAATTAAGCAATAATTTACCAAATCGGAAGTCCGATCTACAGGAATAAACCATAACTCGCTTTATTTCTTTTTCGAAGAAAAAGAGTGTAGTTATTTGTGTACCGTATTTAAGTAGAAACGGTTCATTTTAATTTGTTTGTTTAATGACTCCTTCAGTAAACTATAGACAAAGGTTAAAAAACTGGCTAAATCGTTCAGGTTTTTTTATGATGTTTTATTGCGAAAAAGAAAAATAAGAATATAAGAGTCTTGATCCATTTCCAAAGAAAAAAAAAAAAAAAAAAACTTACTGCTTTTTCCCCTACTTAATGCAGCAAAAGTTAGAAGTAAAAAAAATAGAAGATTTTCTTATGAATATCGAAAAAAAAAACAAATTTTTCTTTAATTGCCGACCGGTATTATTGCTGTAAAAAAATTCCTTTTTTGTTAACTGTTTCTGTAGATTTTTGTCGTCACCAACAAAGGAAAGGGACAGAAAGAAAAAATTAAGAGGAACGAAAAAATGACAGACGAAATACTGAAGGAACCAATCCAACAGTTTTCAACGATCTTTATGTTTTAATATCTACAAAAAAGAACTGCTTTTAATCTGCGAAAAAAAAGTTTAATTTCTAAAAATTTCAAAGTTCTAAAAAACAATAACAATTACCTTTAACTAGATTTATGTCTATATTATTTTGAATGTGTGTAAAAATAGTTAAATTTTGGATTAAGCAAATGATACCGCTGTTCAGGAGTGCTTAAATTACTTGGTCAAGAGAACTGCTTGAATGAAGTCTTCTTAATCAATTTCTCTTTATAAAGCAAAAAAAGGCATTAAATTATACACATAAACCACAGGCTTATTAAATGTTAAAAGCAGTTTTGAGAGTAAAAAGTTTAAAAAAAAAGGAAGTCTTTTAAGTAAAGGTAAAAATTTTTTGGAAATAAATTAGTTAAGTTCTAATTTAGAATTTTTTAAGGAACTGTTCCGCACTAACAATCATTCACTGCAAAGTGCCAAAATAAAAAGTATTAATTTCATATAAGTGACCTGAAAAATGAATTATATTTTTAATTCCACGAAAGAATTAAAAAGAAATTTAATATAATTTTTTTTCGGAAAGCAAAAACTGTTTCTTTCTCAACATTTTTAAGCTGTTAGTCAACAGAAGTGAACAGCTGTGAACAAAGAAAGCCTTCTTTCAAAGCTCTTATATTGAATCATGCAAAATTAGGCTCTGTAGCAGCCATTAATACTGCTAAGTTCCTACTGGTCTCCGTGTGTACTGTTAGTAAACTTTACTGAAAAGTTCAACAACACGCTATTCATTTGATTGTGTTTGACCCTACTCAATGACCACTATTTTAGTTGACTGACCTTTCGGTATGTGTATAATTTCGTCGTTGTAGTCACATTTTTTTTTTTCAAAAATTTGTTTTAACTAAGCAATGTTTGTTGCCAAACAAAACAAAAAATTTTTTTTCAAAATTCAGCTATGTAAACAAAAACTAACCACTGCATAGATAGAACCTTTGACTTTTAATCCGACACCAGTATCAAAATACAATCGTACACCGGTTTCAATAGTAATTGTTGCACCAGCTTCAACAGTAACATCCGATTGGACACGATAAGGTGAATTACGAAAAAACAGAGTTATATTGTTGGCATAAACACCGCCAAGAACATTGTTGATTGGTTGACTGGGTATATCATAGCCTGGATGTGTTACTTGACCTTGACAGTTACAATATTCGAACAGAAGTAGCAGAATTATTAAATACATTCCTTTTCATTCGATTCCTCCGTTTTGTTTCCTCGCAATTTTTTCTTGACAAACAGATATCAAAAATGGTAAAAATTTTTGTAAAGCATCAATAAATAAGTGTTGTTTCAAGCAGCCAATCGCTAGGAATGATTCATGATACAATGCTCATAAAATATGCGTTTTTTGATGATCAATAGCTAACAGCAACAACAACAACAAACAACAGAAGAAACGCGACACAGGAACCGCAGACAGGCTATTGCAGAGGCTAACAACGGGGCCAACCAAAGGAAACAGGGAAGGACAGGGAACAGGGTGGAGAAGGGAACGGGAAGAAACTAGAGCAGCCCTGTTAGATGACGATCACAACGGTGACGTTGTAGTTTGGTTGTTTGAATTTGGAGTAGCTTCAGGTTTTCTAAAAGGAGTGATGGTCGATGTCTGCAACTAACTAATCAATGACCTCCAAACAGAGTTTGTCCACAACAGGCAACAACAACAACAGCGACAACACCAGCACCATCACCATCCACCCGATCATCATCGTCATCTCTAAGCAAACAGTCCAAGCAAAAAGAACCTCCCTCCCACAAAAAAAAAGCCCATTCATTCTACAAACATTCTTCTCGTCATTGTTTACCTTCTTTTCTATACCCGCTCAGCAATACAGTTACTGTTCGTTGCAATCTTTAGATATTCACATTTTTGCACTTTTTTTCTTCCACTTATTTTTTACTATTCAAACTGATTTACTTTGATATCATTTTCCTTCCAGTCTACTCAATTAGTTGGTAGCAACGAAAAAGAG